CTGTAAAGAAATTTCTCCTAATTATAGGAAACAAATAAAAGTTTGCTGTTTTTAAAATGTTAATGTCACTTTTTTATTCCCTTAAAAGGCATTCATATTAATAAAACTTCTTGCAAAATAAAACGAAAATAAAATATTGTAAAATAATTAGCTCTTCTAATTTGTTTTCTGGATGTTCCACTAAATCAACTTATATAATAATATGATACAAATGCTGCGGACTTTTTTTTTAATTCAGATGTTTTAAATATCTAAAGAAAAAACTTTTCGAATAAATTGCTGTTTTCATTTCTGGACTTACAAAATATAACTTATTACAACTAGAAAGAAATATTTGTTGTAAGCCTCGTGAGCAAGAGATCCAGTAAAATTAACGCAAAACAGAGTTTTGAATAATTAGGATATTTCTTTACAGAGTCTTCCCTCACCCGGGATCGTTTGTACTGGCTTAACATTATAATCTGTCTCTGGGGCCATAAAATACGTGAACCCGGTTCCTATATGCGAAAATGCAGCCTATTCTGTCTCTGAGGTTAGTGGCGTCAACCATCCAAATGAAGAGCACGAATGTGGACAAGCCGTGTAGTGCAGTCTATCAGATACGCAGAACACGTGCTGATCTTATTTATTTTTCCCTACTGTGTAAAGGCGAAAACGTTCATATGAGTAATTACTAATTTTAAAAATAAGACTTAATGACCTGCATCTTTAATTTCTAAGTAACTAATTCTTAATCTAGGAGGTCTATCTTAACAGCTAAGCTTATCTCAGATGTGGAACTGAAATATGCATAGGAAAATCCCATTACAGTTGCAATATCTTTTAATATTAGGATTATGGTAGTTTAAAATTTTGATGTAGTTTTCTTTTTAACCTTTTGAAACGTTAACGGTAAACACTTTCGAAATATTAAACTGTTATCCGAAATTTCCATACTGAAATCCTGCAATTTTGTTTAGACTTAGTTTGGAGAGAAACTTAATAAGATAAATTTCATTCAAAATCTTCCATGATTTGAGTATTTCGGTCGAAATAATTTTTGCAAAAATTATGAACTCCTTTATTTCAATAAATTGTGCATCGAAAGAAAGAGGGCACCTCATTAACATGGTGAGTACACTCATTTTCATACTAATGAATACTGCACATATCTTACTGAATAAAGCTTTTATAACCATTTTCATAGTACATTGATTAACAAAACTAGAATACCCTTCTTTACGATTTTATGCAAAACAGTTGGGTAAAACATTAAAAAATATGAAATATTAATTTATTGATATTTTTAAAAGATCTTTTCAGATATTGAAAATACAGCTTTGGAGAGCAGCTCGAAATTCATATTAGTAAAAATGATGTCAAATTTGACATGGAAGCAAAAATCAGAGAAAAAGGAAATTCTTTCTGAACTGTATTTTGTATTGCTTCCAGCGAGAGAAGCAGTTTTTGCGTTTATTTCATATTAGCATGCTGATTCAACACAATCTTCTAGCGGCAGATGAAAACAGACAGACAAAGCTGACAGATGTCCTGTTTTGCAACCGCGAAGTCTTTCTGCATGCAGGGTGAAAAATCAAGCTTAGTACGAGGGAAATGCTTTCAGACGGAGGGCAATTTCGCATTCGAGGAAAAAGTTTCGTATATTTTTATACTAATTTGAAAAGCCGCATAACAAAAATAGGATGGAAAAAAGGAAAAATAAAAGGTCCATATTAAAATCGTTATATATAGAGAAAAATTGTTTTAAATAAATAAATAAATACTTAAAGGGCCTACTTTATACTGAGAGAAGAACAGAAAAGTAGAAATTAGCCTACCGGTGCATGTGTCAATGAAAGCAATGAAGTGAGTAAATTCTGGGTATCCTCACAGTGTGTAATATCAGCGAGCCATAGGAAGACAGGAAGCCTATCAAAGTTAACGGATTTTAGCGTCCGCCACTGCACTGAGCCGAAGCGTAATTGCCGGCTTGTGGATTTTCTGGAGACAGGAAAAGATTAAGGACTTTCTGGTCAATATCGCTCATGAGCTACCGCTTCAGATGATTTTTTTCAAATAACAACACTTGGAAACAGGTAACAAAACGCTAGCCAACTGCAAAGACAACTCTAATGGCAAAAGGAAAAAGTGTATCCTCACAGGCAAATTGCGTACTGGGGTTTCGCTCATGAGAATCGCATGTGCGCAGGCCAGTTGTTTGCGTCCAAATAGTCTTCCTATATAATAAGGCTAGAAGAAATTAGGCTGAAGAGCATTTTAAATGAAGATCTTCCGAATGAAGCGAAGTTTTCTCTGCATAAATCGGATTCTGCCTAAAGTAATCGGTGGCAACTGATATGGGTAGATCATGGACGCGATATAGTTCAGCTTTTATGTCAAAGATAGTTAGTTTATTAATATGTTTTTTCTGAAGTGCTTGTATGAGCATGGATAAATTAAGGGGGACGGGTTACGGATCTGCACCCTGCACCTGTTACATTCGGAATAGGTCCCTAACAGCACAAAGGTTGAGGGACAAATTCATAGACACTTACCCTTTGCGATTCAGCCCGGTGTAGAATATCTCATCACATTAATGCCTCGCGGCCGAGCGGTACAGTTCGAATCCCGCGAAAGGGCTGGCTGCATTTGGCACTTTCGTGGCTTTCTTAATGCGTAACGTGTATACGAGAGTTTCCTTTAGAAAGTCCTCCACGAAGGCATCCCTCCCCCTTGAAGATAACCCTCGAATGCTTTGCTGTAATAAAATAAGCCAAACCTTTATAATATTTTTGTTTTCAAAAATATACTTTTATCTTTTGTTGCATATTTATCAATAATTATTTTCACTAGATTACCGCTACTCTATTTTATTTATGTATTTTTTAGCAGTGCATAATCAAATAGCACAAGCTAGCTTTTCCAATTTACCTTATTCTTAATTCACGTCATGAACAATATAAGTGTATATTTATAACTGATTCTAGTATAGATTATCCTTTAACAATTAAAATGAAAGCTTTAAATTTTAATCTTGGTATCTCACGGCAAAATACCTGAATAAAGGAAATCGGGTATTACCAGATCATGCAGGTACTTCCTCTTCCTTTACTAGAAGGAAGTCCAAAGAACAGGAAGAATTTCGAATCTAGATTTTGATGAACTACGCATTTTTGTCACTGTGAACGGATATGCTCGTCTTTCGGATAATGCGTTTATGTACACAGTTTGTTAGAGAAAGGTGACTTATTTCCATAAAATTTTAACTCTAGACTTATAACGCGAATCACAGTTCTCAAAATAAAATAGAACATTTTATAAAACGGTTTTAAAATTGTGAATTAAAGGGTCTGCAAATATAAAGTCTAACTTTTTACACTGCCCTTATACAACGAAACATTTAGTTTATAAAAAGCTCATTATGAAAGAACTTTGAGAATATATGTAGGATCAAAACTTTAATTAAGGAAATAAAGCCAGAAGTCATCTTTTTCGAACATCCTGCGTCAAACCTGGATTTTATGGTGAAGAACCTCCTCTGCCTGAAAGAATATCCACTTATACGTCGCATCTTTTATCTCGCATGCCGGAACCAGCTGCATCAACTTAAGTTCATGCTATTTTTAATTTCCTTGTGCCAGTCATAAAGTAACTGAAGTGACACACATATATGCTTTTCATCCAGAAATGGATGTCTGTATTTTTCCTTTAGTTCATTTTTCCAAGAGTGTAATTATCTTGTGCATTGTTTACTAACGCCACATTTCAAAGTAAGCCAATGAGTTTGCACGGTCTAGTGCCAGAAGTACGAGGTATTGTAGACACTGATTAGGATTTTTTTAGAAGCAGGAAAGATGAAAAATTAGCAATCACCTTCGATTCCTAAAAAAGAATCAATTACACAAATATTGGAAAATTGGCACAGTAAGCGCCCTTTATTGAAGGCTGTTCTTCAAAATTTCATATGATTCTGTATTGGTAATGTACAGAATTTTTAAATACCTTTGAAGCAGCAGCCATTGCCAAGTTGGCAACAGCCAAGCAAAAGACAAAATACTAAGTGTCTAATATGAAACCTGATTTTCCTCATTGGCCTTGAATGAAAAGTTCTGGTTTTCAAATTGAATGATTAAGTACCACCTTCATTAGCTTTATGCAAGAATGATTAACATGGTTTAGTTTAGAAAGGTTTATTATAAACAATTACTATTTTAGGATAGAAAGGGGAAATAGTCAAATTAAAATAGTGTTAAGGGATTATTCAAATTAAAGTTAGAATTTCATTACGTACTTTTTATCTAATAATTTGTCTTGAAACTTTAATTCTTTCCTTTTTGTTATTTTCACTTCCATAACGATCTGCGAAGATGTCATTTCTTTAGTAAAAAGGGTAATTGGAAATTATTATGAAGAAATAATGACTGAAATGGGGATTGCTGCATTATAATGTAAAGAAATGATTAATTGGTATATAATATATAAAACAGAAAAAGTTCAACCTTCGATTTATTATAATTTAGAGAAAAAATTCTTTTCCATTTCGATTGCGATCGATCCGGGAATCTTCCTTCTTCAAATAAAAAATTATATTTCATGCTATAGGCCAAAAATATGGCATTTGAAAATAGGAAATGAAATAAAAGATAAATAAATAATAAAAGGAAGTAAAAAAAGATGTGATATCGTCTATTGAATAAAATAGAAATCAAAGAATGAGATAATTATGAAGAAAGCTTTCCTTGAATTTGAGAAACTGGATTGAAATTCAAATAAGCAAAACTGATGAATTTCAGTGAATGTGAAAAGCTAGAATAATACAAAGCTCGCCAACTGTGGGAGCCTTCTGGATAATTTTAGGGGAATTAAACTGAAAATAATTCTTAATAGATCAATAATAGTTATTTCTGAAGGGTTACTAATTTCTCCTTTTAATTATTTCTCATTAATGCAAAATTTTAATGCTTTGTTAGTCTGACTGATGTATACTAAATCATATTAAAAAAATAAGTGACAAAGTGAAATTTTGTTAATATTTGTTTTTATTTATAAAAATTAAATAAATATAAAATACTTTTTACAGAAGATGTTCACAAAAGTAAATGGCATTAAAATAGCAAGTTACTTTTTTTTTCACAACCAAATTGAATATAAATATAAAAAAATCATGTTGCGTATCACTTATTGATCAATCGTATGAAAACTCTAATTTTTCCTTGAATAATCATTTCCTTTAACACGAATATTTTATTATAATAAACAATTTAATTGAGTTTTGCTTTATTATTTTGGGGAGCTTTCATTTGTTTTTTAATTTGATATTATAAAAAGCAATTTTCTTTTCTTTTCTTTTTAGAGCTTCTTCATACTGAAATTAATATTTCGCTCATTTTCAGTCACCTCCATATGCAGGATTCTGGAAAGTGCTGGTGGCTTGTATGTAAATGGGGTTCTCTCCCTGAAAGAAAAACCAAAATTAAGAATTTCACTTCGAATGGTATACTTCTATATCGTACTTCAATCAAAACATCATATTAAGACCTCTCTTTAATCATTATTTCGTCTGTATTAAAATAAATTTTATTTTTCACTTATATTTTATGTGCATTACATCTATTTAAATAGATAAAACAGATATAGAAAGATAATCACTAAAGAATTCCGTAATGTACCCATTTCAAAAAGTTCTTGACTTTTTACTCTCTTTTCCATTCTTTTAATTCAAACTCCAAGAAAATCTCAACTGAAGAATGTTAATGCTCTAAAATGTCTATTACTAAATAACGAAGAATACGTATGAACACAAGTTTGCATGTATATATGCATATTCCCCACATTGAGAAAAAAACGGCGGAAATTAGAGCACCAAATTTTTAACACACAGGGTCTTCCACCCAAACATATTTGGCCCTTAAATCCCGAATTTTTAATTTCGAATTTGGGCCGCCCAGACGGTATAGTGGTTAGGGAAGTCGACTGCGATCCTAGAGAGTTCGAGTTCGAATCCTGGAGAACGCATGGTTGTAACTGTCTGTCATAGATGATTTATAATATTACTGCAGTTAGAAATTTCTTCTGGATGTTATGAATGGTAATGATAATTATGTCTGAATGGCAGTGCACCAAAGCTCGCAGAGTGATAATTCTGTTACTGTGATTTAACCTTTTGATTGCATTTTCGTTAACTTAAATAAACGTTTTCATTGGAGTTAAATCTCTTTTTATTTGATGGCATTGTAATGCCACCTTGTTCGTCACCTCATCTCCCTTCAGTGATGACTGGACTTTCAAAAACTACCAGAATTGATTACATAGGAGCATTAAAACACAATTAGGTTACATAGTTAAGTGATAATTTTATCACAAACAGTAATTTTCTTAAATATGGTTGAGAAACACTGGAGTTGCAAATAATCTCATGAAGAACATCTCAGTATGAACGCGGAGCTAAACGCTTAATTATATAAAAAATGACAGTTTTTTCTATGCGTAAATATATAAATCTCTAGAAGCAAACACAAAAAAGAATAATACAATATAAATCATCGACAAGCGGGAGGGAATATTTTAGGAATTCCACAAAGACTAGATAATGATATAAAAGATATAATACTGCAAGCAGCAAACCAGAAATGCAATAAAAAATAAAAAAAAGCAAAATATATGGAAGAATAAACAGCACGAGACAGAAATGATACAATGAAATTTTCTCGTATAACATCTGAAAGCACTTGAATGTCAGTATCAGCTGCAAAACTAAATATCTTCTGCATTACATTGAAATTAGTTTGCTTTTCATTATGAAAATAATTATCTATACAAATAATACGCTGCGAAATGTGAAGAAAATCAGATTTTTACTTTTATTACGCTGTGTATAATTTTGTCTTATTTTATTTAAACATATTTTGAAAGGCATTCAGATTGACACGGGTAAATAAATCTTATCAGCTGAAAACATAAAATGTTTCTGAACTGTTCGATAAGATAAAATAAATGTTTGCTTTCCCTGATAAGTTTCAATATAAAGACAGTGTGAAAAATAAAACGTTAAAAAAAAAAAAAAAAAAAAAGCACGTGTGTGTGTGTGCGTGCTGTTTTTTTCTCTCTTCTTATGTCTCTCTATATACATGTTTTTCCCCATAAATTCAAATTGAGTTTGTTAAACTCCGATAGATAGAAATAATGAGATATTTTCTCTTGAATTATCAGCTATTCACGCTATGAGTATATTTTATTTCCTAAGCGTCCACATGATCTGCATCGTTACTGGATAGACACAAAGCACATTGTTTTTTAAGTGCATTTTGTTATTAGATATATACCTTAGATTTCTGGTTCGTTTCAATATCCCTATTCCATTTTTAATGCTTAATTGCTATTCAAACGTTTAAATTCTTCTGGCGTTGAAATGAATTGTTTTTTTTTTTATGATTAAAATGAATTGTTTGTTTACATGCCTGTCATATACAAAATTCAAGCTAACTTAAGAACCAACTACAGAAGAATATTTGCTCGTTTTTGATTAAATAAAAGCCCTCTTTTTAGTATCCACATACACTCTCAAAGTGCCATGTAAATGAAATTAAAATTATTTTTACTTAATCTAAACAATTCAGTTTGAATTTAGTGCTAAATAGTTAAGACATTTAAAATACTATTATTACATACTATTTAAAATACTATGTAATAAAGCTAGAAAAAATCATGAAATTACCTCTTGCCATTTGGCCATAAGTCTTTCCTTTTCAAATTTTGCAAGCTCTCTCCTGTCGTGAATGGTAGTCAGGATCTTCCACAGCATCAACAAGAATAAGCCGGTAGCTACCACACCACCGGATACTCCAGAAACGATAGCAACCACGTTGATGGGTTCAGGACATTCTGATAATTAAAATTGGATAATGTGGATCATTTGGTATCACCTTAAGGACATTTTCAATACCTTTATTATTTAAATTCCATGCTCATTAAATTTTTGTTTCTGAATCATTCTTAATCATGTTTGAAGTTTATATTCTGAAATTCTGTATAACGCTGGAAATTAAAAATTCAGAGCAAAAATTATAAAGGATATTTCTATGAATATCGTAATATTTAATATTTCTACAAATATTTCTCGTCTCAGTAATTGCTATTACTGAAAAACTAATAATAATGACCTAAGCGAAATTGTTGTAAATTAGGACTTTGATACTTGGAATTTACTTTTACATTATATATACGAATGATTGTTATAAAATCCACTGAATTTCATTGTAATGACAGTTTACTTAACTAAATTAAAACAAATTCCAACCTAAAAGAGATTAAACTTTTTAACTCAGAATTTTGGAAAAATTAATTTTATATCCAGTAGAGGGGTATTAACTGAGAAATTATCTTAACTTTTCAAATAATCATTCCCCTTCTAAACTTGTTTGATTTAAAATGAATCTAGAAAACTGCCAAAATTGGGAACTGTTATTCAAGTGTTTTTAAGAGCCTTATGATTCAGAAATTTTAAATATGCATTCCATTTACTAAATTTCATTTGTATATTCTTGATAAATATAGATGTATTTATTAATTGTATTCTTAGATTTTTTTAATGTAGATTTAAAATTTTGTTTTGAAAATAACTTTACCATTAACTAAAGGTTGAAGTTATTATTATTGAGATTTGTGAGTGAAACTTTTTTAAGAAATTAGGAAACCTCTTAGTACTTTAGTTTGAGAAAATTTAAAATTCCCATCACACCTCTAGGTTCGAGAAATTCTTCTGAAGTATTTTACTTCAAGAAAATTTAGGATTCGTTTGGTTATATCTCTTATTTCTTAAGAGTTATACATGTTTCATTTTCATCAAAGTGTATATTCAATGCAAATCTCGAATTCTATGTAAATGAAGGCATTTTATTGTGCCTGTTGGGAATTGTTTTACATAAAAAATTAGTAACCAAACAAAAGACATTTTTTTAACGCATTCAGACATCAAAAGGCAAAGAGGTTACCGTAACTGGCACTATTACTGCTTCTCATATGCCTGAGATGTATCATAATTATAAATAAATCGTCTCTAAGAAAAAGAAATCAGTCAGGGTTTATAAACAAATACTACCTCAATTACACTAAAAATAGATTTCTATCATTATAGGTGTATTGGTGTATTTAATTATGGCAAAGTACACTAGGGCTATCTGCCTAAGGGGAGGGACGCCTTCGTGGAGAATTTTCTAAGAGAAACTGGCTCGTATACACGTTACACATGGGAAAAACCACGAAAACACCCATGCAGTCAGCCCGTTCGCGGAATTCGAATCTCGGACCGAACTACCAGTGTTCGGCGACTTTACCGCTCGGCCGCTGGTGGGCCACTATAATTACGATGAAAAATTGAATGTAATGATAATAACAAAAATTCAGACATTCCCATTGACATTAAATAGTTAATGGTTCAAATAACATTTAGCTATTATATTTCTTCATTAAGTTCTGTATTCTACTCAGATTAAAACTACACTCCAACTAAAAATGGAAACGTGTTGCCCAAGAATTATACAGTTAGTGATTTGAATAAGGCCATTTTTTTTCCTTTATAAAGTTTGGTATTTTTTGCAGTCGTCAAATAGAGTCTTAAATTCTTAGTAGACGTTAAGTGAATTGTCACTACGTCCAAAATAACAACTGAAACTTGAAAAGCGTGTAAAGGACCATTTCCCTTATTAAAATTAAAGAAGCATAGAAGACGTACCTGCTAATTACAAGCTCAGCCAGCACTTATGGCGAGATAACTTCTTAAACTTAAAGTCAAATGAACAAACTTAAATTTAAATAAGCTAGTAGTCGAACTCTACACAGATCAGTTTAACTTGAAGTAGGCTAACAAATTTAACCGGCGTAGAGATTCACTATCGGCAATTATAATGCAAAGCCAAACGAAGTCTACAAACATCATCTGTGCTAGTAAAGTAATAACATGGCCTAAGAGAGGCAGAAAACACTCCTGTCTTACAAACTAAAAACCTCATCTTAAACATACGCGGAGTAATTTGCATTCTGTCGTGGAAACGGAAAGAAGAAATGACAATGGTCTAAATCATAAATTAACTAGTTAAGTAACATGTTTAAAGGGGAGTGTTGAAATTACTTTATTGTCTTTATGCTATGCTGTATACTGACAGCTGCTTCTATCTTCTTACATACGTTTTACGACGTAAGGCACAACAAAAGAAAAATCACAGCTTATATAAACACTTCATCTTACTATAAATTCACCATAAAGTTTCATTATTTGATTAAACAATTAAAAATGCTTAGCTTTTGTTTGTTTGTTTCAGAAATATGTAAATGAAAAAAAAACTTAAAGGACTTCTTAAAACGAAGGCGGGAAAATGACTGAACACATAATGGCTTTAACTATGACGTAAGTATACAGAAATATCTCTTGTAATACTGCTTAACCTACAGAGTTGTGAAAATTGCAATGAAGAATCACAAAGTTACTCAGAATCTGAATTCCCCTACTTAAATTTGATTTAAGACCTAATAATTTAAAGTAGAGACTAGAATGGATAATTGCCAAATACTCATCCTTCAGGACTCTGTTAAGTTTCTATTGTTATTCTAAATAATTATTTAACATGTCTATTGTGCTGTCCAAATAGATTGTGCAGTCCAAATAGTCAGAAAGTTTTAGTAAATCTCTGAAATGTTTAAAGCTTGCAAAACCAATTTGGGTTCGTAATTATTTGTCTCTTTCTAAACGTGCATGCTTGTTTAGGCTGTAAGTTTTAACTGATTGTTCTTGTAACGGATATTTCCTTTAAGACGCTGGAATGTATGCAAGGTATGCAGTAAAAGCTGCCGAATCGCTACGCAATGTCTGGCAAGAAGACTGCACAAATAAATATAAATTAAACTTGGTGTGTAAATTATTCGTTCTAGTTTAAAAAATATGATGTGGGTATTACATGACTTTCATGCCCGGCGTAGTAAATTATACACATTTTTTCCTACACTTCATTTAAACTTATTTCTCCGAATTATCAAACTTCATTAAGTAGTTCCTCAAGGCAAGTAGAAAATGAAATAAAAAAATTCAAATTTTGAAATTAATCCCGGTAAAGTATCTCGGTCAATTTTTATCAGACGAGAGTCAAACTTCTTATAATTTTATTTTTACATCTTTGTACGAAGTAAAGGAGGTATTGTAATCGCAAAAACTTTCCGGCATCATATTTCAACGAAAATATGCATTTTAACCCCTATCCAATGCAATTTAAGCATGTTATTGCGTGATATCAGTGCGTAAGAACAAAATTGAGTCTTTTCCCCAAAAATGGTTGCAAAAAGAATTTAAAATGGATTCAGAACAGATTTGTTCGTGAGGTCTATACGTTCGTACATTCATATCTCGAATAACTCTAAAGCGAGTAGCCTCAGAACGTTGAAATTTTGTGTATAAGATTGCTATAACCTGTAAATGTGCGCCTTCTTTTCTGGTTGCAATCTGCCACACGAAATATATATATACTCTGTTACTCGGTTCTATGAGCTCAGTTGTTTTATTCTTATATGTTGGCAAATTGTGCATTTTTTTTCTTAAAAGATTATTGAATTATGTTGTTCTTATCATCCGGTTACGGTTTTTATGCCTTTAGTTAATTTGCATACAATAGTTGTGGAATTATTAACAATTTAAAAGTTGTTCAAGTGCGGTAAGCCTAATTTTTATTTTACCATAGCAGCCATATTTGTTTCCAGTTGAAACTTAGCAGAATAGTGAATTAAGTCAATTTCTGTACCTTCAGTGTCTTTTTGCCGAGTGGGACTGATAGTAAACTTTCAGTTTTGTTCACTGAAAATCTGCCTTCTTGCCCGCGGTCCAAATTCCTTGTTTTTGCTTAGAAACTCTAATTTTAATTGTAAAAATTGTTTTTAAATAGTATTAACTGTATACGGTGTTTTATAGTTTCCATATTTTTCAAATTTTAATAAAGATATTTTGAGATTTTATGTGTTTTTGCCTTGCGCGAAATAAGACCTGAACTATTTGAATGAGAAATATATCTCTAATTCAAGGAAATAAGTTTAAAGGAAATGCAGGAAAAAATGCGTATAATTTAATATTCCGTACAAAGAAGTCATGTAGTGTACACATCAGATGTTTTCTTGACTAGTATAAAATTCCCCGAAATATTAGTATAGAATCAGGGTTACAGCATTAAATATTAAATATTCTTATTTGTCGAATGGGTATTTTTTTTTAAATTTAGCATTGCCAAAACATGAATATATTCGTCATTTAAATGACTTCTGTAACTGAAAGTGTATGACTATTGCCAAAATAGAGGCCGGGTAAGGACTTTTAAACCGGGAGGGGGACTAATTAATATACTGACTAAAATGATTTTCTTATAATTATTCATCGTTTTAATTGAATTTCTGTTCCTTGGAGAATATAAAAAACGTTTTCTAATAATAAAATATTGGTTTATATTACTTAACAGCTTTAGCGCAAGTTTTAGGCTTACTAATTTACTCATAATTGCTTTTATATTTATGTATATATTTGTATACATACGTTTAGTTCTACCAATCGCAATAAAAAAGAGAGGTGCGTAAATAGATGTTAAAGCACTCTTATGTACAATATTTCAACTTTCTACGGCTAATTCAGTTATGTGAGATACTTTGTGACCTCTGTGCGTATGTACAAAAATATCCATTTTGAATCCATTAATCCAATTTACAATCTGTTTTGGAAAAGAGTCCTTTATGCTGCCCATATGTACAGATGCCACGCACAAAAATCGTCCAAATGGATTCGGGAATGGTCAAAATATATATTGCCTCTGAAATATGATACACCAAACGTTTCGAGATCACAATACTTCCTTTACTTTTTACAAAATATGTAGCGGGAATTTTGTCGAGATTACAATATTTCCTTTACTTCGTAGAAGAAAGTAAAATTGAATCCCATAGGTGGGATTTTAGACTGTGATAATTTCGCCATGAGATAAAATTCCACAATTATAAACGAAATTCGAAATTTTGCGATGAATGTCCCAGTATGTTGTATTTATCCTATAAAATAATTTTGTATGGCAAAATAATGATAGATGGCCTGTCGTGCAAAACATTAGAGCTGATAAAATATTAAAATTACATGACTTCAGCCATTTTATCTAAAACAATGAAACCAATTAAGCGCTGACTTAGAGGTTCGGGTAGTACATAAAAATAGTATTTCATTTAAATCGAATTTAAAAATCTTAGAATTAATAAAATCTCGGTTGATTTTAAACTCGTGAAAATAATATTTTAGACAAATTTAACTAATATAGTTTCTCACTGTTATTTCTTTCTCTGTGAACTTTTTTAAAAACATAAATTTGACATTTTTAATAAAAGCTATTGTTTCAAGGTCTACTTCATTTGATTTATCTTTTTAAACTGAAATCATAAATCTACAGGCTAATCGCACAATATTTATTCGAATTTCTTATGTAATTGCTGGAAATGTTCGGTAAATTTTTAAAACTTTGATTTTCAAAAATATAACTTGACTTACCCAGCTTCATTTTGGGGAAGACTAACAGCCTATTCATGTCATCAAAAGAATATTTAAAAGTATATCGACATTTTTCTTTATCTTCAAAAGTGCATTGTTTTTCCATTTCTCCCACTATAATATAAAAATATACAATTAACTTGCGTTCACGTAATTCTTTTTAAGTAAACCAACATTAAAAAATTAATAAATGCAATGAAATACTGCACAGAGGCTCTCCATAATAGCCAATAAAATTTCTTCCTATCCTATATGTTAAATTAACTTCTTACTAAATATCAAAATAATATTAAGAAATACATATCTTTTAAATAGTTCTCACCATCCTTTTGAGCCACCTCAGACAAATTAAGTGAAATGCCGCGTATATCGGTTTGTTTTGCTAGACTATGAAGATCTTCTCAAATTAGGAATAACAACATGTCTTCGAGGAACAGTAATGTAGCTAAAAATAATATTACCTGCAGATGATTGTCTTACAGCACATCTATATTTTATCGTCTTAATAATGCAAAACAGATCTGGATTATTAACAGGAATCGACTGTTTTATTTTAATGTTATATATCCTTGTTTGGATTGGCTTATTTTCCGAGATACAAATTTCTTCCCAACTATTAATAACCACTTCTATACGAGAAGAAAGATTGCAGTTACAAATAGCATCATCTATGACTCATTTTAATAGAGAAAAATTAGATTTTTTCAATGAGTAACCAAAATCAAATCTGAGCAGGAACTCAGAGGTTTTTATTTGCTTAAAAAATTAATTGATATAATTTCCTAAAGATTAAATACTAGTTTTATGCTACATTTGAGTAATCTTTACTCATCTATACTATTAAAATCTGAGCACGTCTGTGTGTTTGTTTGCAACATCATCTCCTCTGGAACGGTCGAGAGAGAAGTTTCGAGAGAGATACACTGCGCGAAAAAGAAAATGGGACAGTTCTATACTTCCCGTTCTACTGGGCTGATTGAAGAAATTCAAATTGCGTTTTTCATCGCGAAATTGCGACTTAGGATATGTATTAGATTTATATAAAGCGTTGCTCTAATATAGGTGTTTTGACGCAAAATAAGACTTTTTCTGAAATGACATGCCAATTTGTTTTCCATATTTCGATTGTACTACTCAAATGATGCAAAACTGGCAAGTTTTGTAAAAATCGCACGAGTAGTTTTTAAAAAATTAACTCTCAAAATTTTTGCTCCTCAATATTAATTGAGAATTGATATATATTTATTAATATCTCTTTTTTTATTAATCTTACTTTATTCCCTTTTCCATAATTCGAAATTTAGGCTTAATCCAAATATAATTCGCATATATTTTATGATTTAGTTTTAAAATTTGCATTTTTAAATCATTTTTATAAATTTTTCGAAAACAATTTTGACAATTTTGAAATACATCGACTAAAATGATGTTAAAAATTGTATAGGTTATAATTTTCGAAAACAATTATAACCTATACAATTTTTAACATCATTTTAGTCGATGTATTTCTAGGCACACCTGCAAAAAAATAGACTTTTTTATTCAAAATTTGCTAAGATATACGTGAATTTACATTTTGGCGCGTAAATGTGGTTTACGCACTTTGTTAAAATTGTTTGAAAGTATGAACGATGATTTTTTTTTTTTTTTTTTGCGTTCGTGGACAATAAAGAAGAGGGAAAGGAAACTAGGTTATTATAAATTAAGAAATTCGCCAAGTGAATTATTCTTGGCTCAAACTGAAAAAAATTCTCCAAGATAAATTTTTAAATTTCTCCATAAATTTCTCACCAGAAATTACAAAATTTAATATCTAAGCATAATTTGAGTCGTAGAATCGAAATATGGAAAAAAACTTTATATGTTATTTCAGAAAAAGTCCGATTTTGTATCAAAATACCTGTGTTAGAATAGAGCTATATATAAATCTAATATATATCCTAAGTCGAATTTTCGACACGTGGAAAACGCAATTTGAATTTTGTCAATCGGCACAGCAGAACAGGAGATATAAAACTGTTCCATTTCTTTTTTTTGCGCATTGTACTTGCGGTTTCCGAAAATTTATGGGAAGACATTTCGACCATTCTCATCTTCGTACGATTTTAATCAACCAAGATGTTAGGTACAAACTCTGAAAACTTTAATTTTTGCAGTCACTTCTTCAAAACAGTTCCACTTTCTATGCATATCTACCAAACATTAGAGTTTTTTATTCAAAATTTACCAAGATATATGTGAATTTTTATATTGTTGCGTTTTGAAATTTGGCATATTCGTTATAAGAGATAATAACTTCAAATGTGGTTTACGCAGTTTGTTAAAAGTATTTGAATGAATGAACAATGCATCTTCGTGCACATTGAAAAGAAAGAGAATGGGAAATAGGTTACTGTAAATTCAGAATTTCGCCAAGTGAATTATTCTCGGCGCAGAAAAAGTGCAGCAAATAAATTTTCAAATTTCTAGGTAAGTTTCTCACCAAATTTTATAAAATATTTGGAAATAATTTGAATCGTAGAATCGAAATATGGAAAACCATCTTTATGTCGTTTCCGAAAAAGTCCAATTTGGGGTCAAAATATCTATAATACCTATGTTAGAACAATATTATATAAAAATCTAACATATATCCCAAGTCGCGCTTTCCAGACATAAAAAATGAAATTTAAATTTCGACAATCAGTCCAGTACAACGAAAGCTACAGAACTGTCCCATTTTTCCCCCGCAAGGTGTACATTTATGCAGAAAGATTTTAAACATAGAATGTTTAAATAAAACTGCGTTTGAATCATTTGTAAGTAATACATTTGTATCTTATACAGTAAGTTATTTAATAATGTAAATATTAGGCATTGTGTTGTATGCGATACAACAGCATTTATACATATGTACAGGTAATTTTCTTTGCGAATTAGAAAGCATTACAGGATCTTAATTATTGAGATAATACTGTTTTTAAGATTTATCCCTATTCAAAGAATATATTTTAGCTGAAGCAACAGAAATTTAAGATTTTCGTATGTGAGCTGCATATTTGATTTTATTGAGCACACAATGGAGTCATTACAATGGAAATTTCTGTTCTAAATGTATTTCATTTCCGAATTTCTGATAAATGTGTATATAAATGATAAAATCATGATTAAAAATATATTTCTTACTTGAGAAATATCTGGTTTTCAATTTTTATAGTGTTAAAAAATGTAAATGTCGTTAGAATTAGAGTATAAACCCGAGAATTTTCTTCTTCAGCTATTTTTTTTACAAACTGTTATACAAGAAAAATGTGTATTTACAAAATACGCATGTAATGAAATTTTATAATTCGGTTATTAATCATATAACTGGGTAACAAAAATTCTGGTCACATCTAGAGTAATGTAATCTCAGAATATTATGTTACTCAAGATCAATAATGAAGCTAGTAATTCCTCCGTTCGTCTAGAAGAAACTCAATATCTTTGGCTAATAACTTTATTATCGATCGCAAAAATCGATGAAAATATCGTATATCACAGTAACAAGATTTAAAGATTCTGATTTGATAGACAGAAATCGGAAATTATTGCTTTTGCGAAATTGTGGAAGTAATTACTTTTGCGAAGCAACTGAAACGGTATTTTCTTATTTTTCTCAGCAGCAATACTGAAGTAAGCAGAACTTAAAAAAATTAACGCTTTAATTTTCCTTAAAAGTATGCAATGCTGTATTAATATTCGAAAATCTCGCAAAATATATGTGTTTTAATAAAATATGACGATTATAGCCATCTACGCAAAATATATGTTTTTATATATTACAAAAACAGATTTTTATCTAACTACGCAGCATGATCAAAAAGACTATCAGCGGTTCTCAGATTGTTTCGACGCGGCACCCTTGTGCAGCTAAAAAAATTTCGAGGCACTGCTATCCTTAAATCAATTTAAATTTTAAAAAAAATTCTGGAATCTTTCAGATTTTATATTACGCCCAAATGGGTGGGTTTTTTTCATTTACAGACACATACACGTTTCGAATGCCTTTGGGATAACACCAGTTTGGGATAAAAATATTTAAAAACAGCATATATTTAAAATTCTCGACAGACAATTTCGCGCTGGAGATAAAAATGTTTTATTCCCTCTATAGTGTAGCGGCTGCTCGCTTTAAAATTTTTGTGTTTTTTAATAAAAAATTCATTAACGTTTTACGAAATAGACGATATAACAAATTCGAAATTGAAGTTTCGGGCTTCCCATATTTGGGTGGAGGACTACGTTATGTAAAATCTGATGACTCTAGGTACCGTTGTTTTTTCACAGTGCAAGAAACATACATACGTTCATGCACATTCTTTATTATTCAGTTTTTTTAAATACAATACATGGCGATAATATGTGGCAACAATTTTAAAAGTGATACATCGCATAATCATACGCAAAACGCAGTTTCGAAATTGATAGCCCTTCTGGGATAACGCTCCTTTGGGCTTTATTTAATTTTACCTTCAAAATCACTTGACTCAGAAAATTTGCTCCTGCACCTAATTTTCATGTAAACATACGCTGAGGCTTCAGATTCACAGAGGTAAGTTGAAGTAAATCGCAGAAGTTGTTTCATTGCAGCGTTTCTAACAGCCTTGTTTCTGAATGCACCTGCATCCAGAAAAGTTCTTGGCTTCCTTCATGTTATTTATGTTACGGTTAGCTTGTCTTCGTTGATCTCTAGCAGATTTTGAAAAATTTGCCGCGTCTCTCCTGGTATTTTACATTCAAGGTAATTGGTGTATACCAGGAGACCCAGTTTGATACAGTCTGAGGCGTATTTATATAAAAAATAAAGAGATAAAATTCTTTCTACCAATGTTTTAAGAAAATTACCTCTGATGTTTTCAATGGGATGTACTATAGCATAACCACAAGACGTGCAGTTCAGATTTTCTCCTTTCTGGTCCCTTACCCAACATTCCACACATTCCTGCAATTCGTCGCACATACCAGGACATGTCTGTTTGAAAGAAAAAAATCATCGTGAATGAACATAATCACATACAAGGTTTGTTGAGTTAAGAGATAATTGACGTGGTCGATATACAAGCTATTCAAAACCAAAGCCAACACACAACAAATACTTATTTTCAGAAAACTTACATTCTGATACTCTCATATAGCAGTTACCTGCTTAATTAATATCCTAATGATCATTCATACTTCATTCTGGCAAGAATTCAATAGAACAATTGCTGCTACAAGAAGTCAAACTCTGAGGAATATTAAGAAAGAACGAACTTTTAAATAAATGGTACCATCCATTTCAAATACTCATACGTTTTCTAAAATTATTTTAAAATATAAGTTATTATGAAATCTAAAGTTTTTCTTCATTAATTCTTTTTAAAATTATTCGTATCTTTTTATAGAAATCTAGCACTGTTACTGCTGTTGCTTCTTTTTATTAAATTTAAAAAATATGCAATTGTTTTTTTAACATTCATTTATGGTTTATTTCAAAACGTTAACAAAGGCTGTAATCATTGCAAATAATACATTTGAAATTTGTGAATAATATTAATTCCATAATTTATAATGATACAATAAACATTTATTCGATCATTTTAGAAAATGCGTGGATTTCTCAAATAGAACAATTTAGAAAAACTTTTATATATTTCTTATCTTACATGGGACGTTCTGTATGCTATTCCTAACTCATAACGCCAAAAATAATCAAGCAATTATTTTTTAGCTTGATGAAATGTTGTCTTGATTAAATTAATATGTAAGATGAGTCCATAAGGGTAAAAGTCATTTAGGGTGTGGAAACATTTCAAATACCATTTCAGGTTTTTCATACACTTTTATTCTTAGTTTTGGCTCTGTTGCTGCCACAAGGCTGAACCTTTTTAGTTTTATTTTTTAGAATGATCATAAAATTTTTTATTTTTATCTGAATTTTAATATAAAAAGTTATGCTTTGTAATTTTTACGAAATTGCTTTCTGCATTTAAAATGTCATGTCGAGAATATTCTTATTTAAAGTATTTTTCTAACTGGAAATATACGTCTACGACTAGCAGTTGCGAGTCATGGAAAACAGAGACTATATAAAAACTTTGTGGACAGGCTGTATATCATCCAACAAAATGATCAGAATTTTTTCTGTTTCTTCATAAATTAGAAAAAAAAAAAGGGCGAAAGAAAAACTACGAAAAAAAAAAATTTGAAAGTTGTTCAGATTTTACATTACGTCCAAAGGGGCACTTTTTTACGTTTTGTGTATTACCTTGATTTATTAAATATAATATTCTTCGCACTTAAACCACATAAAATTCAGTTCAACAGCAATATGACAAAATATTTAAAAAGAGCATATCTTTAGAATTTCCGATAGACAGTCTCGCGCTGGTGATAAAAGTGTTGTTTTTTTTCGTACAGTGTTTCAGTTGCTCGCTTTCAAATTGAGCTTGTTAATCAAAAGTTCGTTAAAGTTTTACAAAATCTGAACTAGATTATTAAACAAATTCAAAAATCGGGCTTCGAGGTACCCATGTTCGGGTAAAGCATTATGTTATTCAAAATCTGATGGCTCTAGGTACCGTCGTTTTTTCACAGTGCGAGAAACCTATATACATTCATGCAGATTCTTCATTATTTAATTTCTTTAAATATAATACAGGGCGATAATATTGGGTAGCAACAATTTAAAAAGCGATACGCCGTTTATAGCAAATCGACACAAAATGTCATTTCGAGGCTAATAGCCCTTCTGGGCTAAGGCTGTTTGTGTTAATAACTTTTTTCCTTCTCGGCTAACACTCTTTTGCGCTAAAAACTGTTTGAAGACGAGTATGCTGGTTCGCACAGCATTCTAATTTATAAACGTCATCTCTACTTGAATAACATTTTAGAAACGAATGCTGCATTAGCAAATGTATATTACAAAGACTGAAACAGGGAAACAGTATAAGTACTTAAAATATTGAGAAGTTGTAATATTATTTATGAGATAAAAGAATCAATCACGATGAGTTACTATTTGTTCGTAAAACCCACGAAGCGTTTATCTCCCACAAATAGCACTTGGTTTTGGAACTGCTGAAACTGCTTTTTGCTTGCAATATCTGCTGTTACCCAACTTGAGGCAGCATATTATAAAATGGGGTGATGAATTTGAAAGGTGCAACTTTAGTTTATTTCGAGATTGACTTATGAGCCATGCCTCAAATTTACGGCTAAGACATAACTAATAAACTTTATGGTGGAAGCATAGCATGGTTTCATGGTTAGCTTATGAGACATTCTAATCCTATGGATAAGAGCGCTTTAGTGAAAACTCAGTTAGTATGAACTTTTATTCAAAGGACTCTCAGGGAAACTCCTACTGTAAGGGCTCGTACAAGCTACGTTTCTCCAAAATGCTCGCATCCGTGGGATTGCAAAATATTTCTACGTACACCTGTAAAATGGGCTTTCTTCCACTCATGCTTTTATTGCGGAGATGTTTATTTAAAGGTGCCACTTGCATCATTTGGCTCTTGATTTTGTTAATTGAAATAATATAAGAATTTATAACACGATAGGATTATTTACAATCGATATTCGATTTTCAAGCCCTATTTCTATCAGTAACTTCAGTTACTATATGACCAAATAGCCGTATGGGCCATGTGGTTTGAATAATAGAATAATCGAGATTATAATACATAATTTACAAATAGATATGAATGTAAATGCTAAATCAACTAATAATAAGCAACATAAATCAATGTAACGTGTCCGAATTTGCAGACAGGTATGAATGTATTTACTACTGTTATTAATATATTAATTTTTACAGTGCTTACAAACAGAAAAGATACAAAAATTCTTTCGTCATTTTCGTCCATTTGTATGGCATGACACAAAGTACAATCTGTCACTATGTGCTTCGTATCTCTTCTCGCTGTAGACATGACTCTCGCAAAGGCTTATACTACCGGGAAAACACACTCCGGTGATCTGTATAAAAGTCATCTCCATAAATCTGTATATTCAAATCGTTGTTTGCATCAAAAAATATCAAGATTGCGACTGTCACTATATTAATCAGAGGTTTGAGGCAGAATTTCTGTGTGTAGCCCATATTAATTTGTGTCACATTAATATGTTTGTTATGGTTTGCATCTTTCTTTTGTTTTAATATTTTCATAGCAGATTAAAGAGATTCTGTGAACAGCCTACATCACTGTGGATAGCCCCGCGAAGTACGCCGAGCTACTGTAAGGAATTGAAGGCCATGGATATCGATAAATACAACAAATAAGTACAAATTTTTAACAAATGAGTAAGTGCTGGTATTTAGTTTGTCAGTGTGTTATCAACAAAAAGACTGGAACTTAAACCTTATTGGTGTGTATTCAACAGCCGCTTAAGTTATAAAAGTAATTGAGACTTTGAAGAAATACCATATCCATGATGGTATCAGAAGCTATATTCTGAACAATTCTTGGTTTGGTTTGTTTGGTTTATGGCAAAGCACCCGACAGCCATCTGCCTAAGAGAGGGATGCCTACGGGGAGTACTTTTTATAAAATTGGCTCGTATATACAGTGGTGGCCAAAATTGTGGACACTTTTGGAAATTTTTATGTTTTTGAAATTTGTATGCTTATAGAAAATGATATGTATCACAAAATGCAAAAACTTACATATATCATTTTAAAGAGAATTTATTACTGAATTCAATACAAAACACAAAATTCAATTATTTGCAATACAAAAAAAGTTAAACGATAATAGTTATCGATATACATTAGATATACATTAGATGATTGCAGTGAGTTATCAGTACTTAGTAAAGTACCCTTTATTTTTGATTACAGCTTCACATCGACGTTTCATTGAGCTGACAAGAGGTTTAAGCTCTTCTTTCGTTATTACATGGTCCCAGGAGAAACAATTATCGCCTCAATTAGTTCCCTTTTATTTGATGGGCGTCTCATTCGGACAAGAGTTTTCAAACGGTGCCACAAATTTTCGATAGGATTGAGGTCAGGCCTGTTTCTTGGCCATGACAACAATTTAATGCTCTTAGTACGAAACCACTCTTTCTATTATTTGGCCGTGTGGCAAGGAGCAGAATCCTGCTTAAAAATAAACGAAGCATTGTTGGGAAAGAGATCTCTGATAGAAAGTAGAAGTTTGGGTTCTAGAATAATGTCGTGCAACATGTACCATGTTAATATTATTGTAATATGTAACATACTAATTTTCTCAGCAATTGTATTTTTTTTAACTGTAAATTGTAAATGTGTGTAATATGTACCATGCAAATATACCCCATGTCTCAGTAATTGTGTGTAATATGTACCATGTCAATATTCACAGTACTATTTAATGTGTATAATATGTACCATTCTAATTAATTAGCATGCACTTTTAATGTGTGTAATATGTACTATGCAAACTGTAAATAATAATTAATGCGTAAAGCCAACCTATGTGCTAACCTAAGAACCCAACTATATACATACTTATAGTAAGAATTGAATCAAACAGGTGTAAAGTACCTTAAACATAAATATTAAGTACCCTAAACAAAAGTATTAATCAATCTGTCAGTAAATGTAAACTGCACTATGAAATGTATGATATGTACCATGCAAGTATTAATTAATATTATTAATTAATAATTAAATTCTTAGAAATGTAATTTGTATTATGTAATGCGTGAACTATGTACAATGCAAGTCTTCTCAGTAAATATAAGCTGTACTATGTAATGTATATAATATGCACCATGCAAACCTGTAAACAATAATGAATGCGTAGTGTTAAACTATGTGTTAACCTAAATACCTAAGATGTAAAGTACCTTTAACATAAGTATTAATCAATCTCTCTGTGTGTAATATGTACCATGCAAGTCTGTAAATAATAATGAATGCATAGAGTTAACCTAAGTATCTAATCATGTATAATTAACGTAAATATTGAACCTTACGGATGCAAAGAACCTTAAACATAAGTC